TTATGGTCCTGGATGGTGTCAAATGAAAAGTGTCCACTAGACTTACGAATACAGGGATGCTTGCAGTAAAATTGTAAAGTGAAATTAGACAATGACGTACGGGAATTATTAGGGAGCATGCCGTTCTTGAATTTATTTTTATTTCTCCTTCGTTTATCAAATAGAACAGAGGTTTCTCATATTGTTAGAAAAATCCTTTCTAATTTCTTCCTCATGATGTCGTCTATGAGAAATCAAAAATTAGACCGAAAAAGTAAGCATCAAAAGCTTCTAAAATCCTTACGTATTAGCTGATTGCCCCTCAGTAAGATGGATTATCCATAGATATTTACTGTTTCCTCCTCAAAACATTTTTACTTATTTTCTCTTTACCCTTTTGTAACAGAAATGTATGTTCTTGGATATCTTGTAGATCTTACGAACTTCTTTATTATTTAGATGAATTTGTGGTTGCTCCAAACCATCTATCACTCTTCGACACTCAAACTTCTTAGAATTTTGCGATAATTACAAGCAATAAATATACTTAAGGATTTAGTATTGTTTCAATTAATTTATTTTAATTAATATTTAATGCTTTAATCAGCCACAACCAAAACATACAGAACTTTTTTTATCGTTATGATCTATGTATTGGTTTTTATCGGTACATTCAAAGTGCGTTTATATACATATTGTACAATAAAATCATTTACAACACGTATCTCTATTAATTTTAATAGTGCCGAAATTCTTATAGACTGCTATCAAAATATTTGTAGATATTAATTACTCATCGAGTAAATAATTTCGGTGACTCATCCAATAACATTATTACAACGGGGACGGTTAAACATTAGTCGAAACTGCGGAGAAAAAGATACGAAACGATTTGTGTAATATCATCCATGCTAAATAGTCAATTTGTTATTAAATGTAAACTGAATCACTATTTTTATTATACAGAAGCAGTTAACCACTTAATTTAGTCACCTTATTAACAGTAATTTCAATAAACAACTTACATACGTATGCCATAAATTGTTACACAAGGGAATTTCAAAATGACTCCCGTTCTGATGTAATAATTTCTGCACAATAATTTCGAAATCAGTTTAATAAATAAAATATTATTGGGATCCGTCAAATGGGAGGAGCCTAAAAACATGGCGCCGATTAGGGAAAATTTATCGTAGTTCCTATAGTGTACCGTGCAATTTCCAAGTTTTTAAATTACGATAAAATGATAAGTATTGACACAATATGTGATTGGGCTGACACAAAGCATCGGAAAGGAAATTTCGATGAAGGTGAGCGTGTTTTTAGGTAGGTTCTTAACCTCAAAATACTTATATCGTATCATTAGAGTTGTGTTAAATCAATTACACAGGAATAAATAATTTATCACTTTATAATTTTAGTATGATTCTAGTTTTAAATATTAAGGTTATGGCTGATGGTAAATATTTACTGAAATATAATCATGATCATCATAAAATGACGTGAATAAATTTTTATTCCCGAATTCACTTCTTTGATACCTACTGCTTTCATCCAAGCTTCTATTAGTTTACTTTTTTCTCTAATTTTCCGAATATATTTTTTACATATATAAAACGGTTAGTTTTTATTGGAAAGTAGTTAATGTAGG